TTTTTTTTTTTTTGGGGGGGGGGGGTGGATTATTATTGTTATCTTTTCCATTGACTTCAAAATTTTGTGAACTCCTGAATTTAATATAGACGGCAATTATGATCTGTTAAATGTTACAGGCGTTCGAGATCACAATCATGCCCCTTTTGCCGGGACAGTCTGAAAAGAGTTAACTCTGGTGACCTCTGGATTTTCATGGACAGTAGGGATGTCATTGACATGGCCACAGTAACAAGGGAGAATCTAAGAAGGCTGTTCATTTATATAGATAAGTTGCCTTTGATTGTTCCAGATACACTTTTTGACACCTATGATGGTCATCTAAGGTAGGTCACTGGTATTTTCTGGACTCTTGGTTTCTTGTGGCCCTATGCAGTGGTTTATTTCCATTCTTAATTAGATGAACCCAGCCCAAGTTATTGTGGGCATGGGGTTGAAACTGAGCTAGTGATCCAAAAGTTGTATTTTTAAGTTTCACCTAACCAATGTAAATGCTTGTACAGCTTGATAGTTTGTTTATTGGATATTCACAGACTTCCTCTTTCCTTTAATGCCACCGAAGTTTATTTCATATATTCAATTAGTAGTGCATATTCTACAAAGTTTTCTAAAGTGATGTAGCTGCTGCAGTGGTGATCCCTTTAATGAAATTGTGCCTGATTTTTTTGTGTATTATATTGATGGCCTTGGTAATTATCAGGAGGTTGACTGTTTTCTTGAGTGAATGCCAGCACATCAAATATTGAATTCACCCTCCCCGGTGGTACCAATCAACAACAACAGTGTCATTCTTAGATCATTAAACTTATGATTATAGACCAAGTATTGTTGGCTCAAAAACAGGGTCCTATAATAGGATGCTTACAACAGTGCTGTTTTAGCCTCGACGATGCCATTTTCTTGCATCTCCATCTTACTGATCCAAATCAAATTACAGCTGCATCTGCATGTTCTTTTGCCACATTTAAACGTGTCCAACGCCATTCATATGTTCATCTGGCAATGAAATTGGTAGAAAGAGTCGAGCTGTAAGTTATGTGGCCAAATAATCAAACTCAGGGAAATGTTTCTGCAATACTGTGAATTCTTACCTTCCAGGCCTCATTAATGGTGGTGAAATATGGGTCTATATGTACACCGCCAATAGCATATGGAAGTGGTTGGGCAGGATGGCCTAGCAGTGGAATCCTGGGTGGAATATGATCTTCTTCTGTATCATAATTGGCTTCATGATCTGTCACAAGAGTTCTCAAAACTGTGGCTAACAAGATTGAAAATCCCTGCATTTAGATAACATTTAACTTTAAGGTCTAGAAAATCCATGGCTGAAGAACACAGCTATTTGTAAATGTAAGTGGTAATTCCTGTAACCAGTTTCTCTGAAATGCTTTGTACTCGTTTGAATGCAAATGAACTCAATTTTTTCAGGGATTCGAGTAAAAATATCAAGCTTTGAAATTTTGGAAATGGATTTGGAGATGAGAACAACGAAAGCTACCAGTTCCTGGCTAGACATTGGGTTTGGTCTCAAGCAGCTGGCTTGTTACATTGCACAGAAACAATCATGAAGATACCTGTACTAGGATGATCAACGCACTAATCCATTTGCAGGTGTCAATATTTGACTTCACAAAGTCCTTGAAATCATCAAACCTCCCCGATCGATCCTCAGGTAAGTCCTGATTTATCACCACAGTGGTCGTGACTCATGACAAGCAAATTAGATGTTATATATAGGTCGTTTGGAGACTATACCTTCTCCCAGTCAGAGTTTAGGAGTATGTCTGCTATGATTGCAGTCTCTAATAGGAGGAGAAGAAACATCACAATCATATACTGTTCTAAAAGTTAAGGCTTAACAAAACTTGTGCATGTTTTAGCTAATCAATCTGCTACTTCATTTGGATGCTTACAAGTTAGTCATGCATCCTATGTAGCACATCAAACTAGATGTGACAGATTAGAAAAGAAGAACGAAACCCGAAAACTCTAGCAGAATAAGGATACACAAGAGAGGCAGCAAACATTTGCAGTATCTGCAGCAACATGGCCAAGGCATGTAACTGCACACAAGGTGATACCAATGCCAAGAGAAGCATGAATGAACCTGCAAGATTTTCCAGGAAAAATATTGAATTTCTTAGAAAGAGAGAAGTATAGAAAACCTGGAGAGTTACAAAAACAATGTAGAATGATATTTTTCTAAGTTATTTGGTCTGAAAAATAAAGAGAGAACACACATGGTACTCTTATATAACACTTTCAGTTCCAACATTTGCAGGCTGAAAAATGCAGCCATTGTTTGCAAAGTAAAGTGACTTCCAAAAAGAGCTTACCATGGAAAAGAAGAACTATAATCTTCAGGTGATGCGTCTCGCTGCCAAACTCTAGTCATCCATATAGTGTATAGTAACATAGCAATCCCTATGATCCCGATAGTCGAATTGAGAAGTTTCAAGCAAAACTGCAGGCAACTTTTCACAGCTCTCACCATTTTAATCAACTTTAACAGTATCAGTCCTTTGTTACCCAGATAGCTAAAGATAGACCAAATCAGCTCTCAAATCATGAACTCAAAGCAATTTCAAATGATACTTTTGGTGCATTCATCTAAGTTGATGGGGTTAGCTTTATAAGGTTGATTGATTTCTTAAGAAGAAAGCTAATTGCTTGGCCATTTTTCGAATGTGTAATGATTCTATATGAAATTGATGGTGCCAACATTTGAAATAGCAACAAGAGAGTGATTGAATTGATGGGTGAGATAGGAAATTTCCAAGAAACTTCGAAGTTTTTGGTTTTTAACTAGATGGTTTCTAGTGTAATCTTGCGAGTAATGTTCGGAGGCATTATTGTGGTTGTCGTAAGGACATAGGTTAATTTATGTTCATCTTGACTAATTCTCTCTTTAATTCGATCAAAAATAGATTGTTCACGTTAGAACTAAAATATTTACGATGAATAACATCAGAGGGTTATCGGTTAAAGACAAGTCCACACGGAGACTAAGAATAATGGTCAAGGGTTGACATGACAGTATTCTTGTCGGAAATTGATATTCAGTATATAATTATACATATGACATCTCATTGTTAGAATTTGATATACATGCCACTAATGTATTTGTTGTTCGTATCACCGTTGCATTGAATTTTTACTCATCAATAAATAATGGGCTTGAGTTTGAGTGATGCGAGGGGAAGTCGAGGAGGGGGTACCAAAAATGGTGGTGGTGGTGGTGGTTAGTAGCGGAGTAAGAAAAAAAATTTAGAGTGGACACATTGGTATGTTTTAATTTTTTTAATAGATCGTAAAATTTCATAAATTTANTAGTAGCGGAGTAAGAAAAAATTTTTAGAGTGGGCACATTGGTATGTTTCAATTTTTTTAATAGATCGTAAAATTTCATAAATTTATATTTATTAAAATTATATTTAATATTTTTTAAACATAAAAAATTAAAAATTGATATACATAACATGAAAAAAAATAATAATAATCAAAATTTCCTATCGAGAATGCAACTAATTATTATTACTTATAATTGATCATAATATGTTTTTATTATTTGAAAGAGTTACAAATTAATTTTATCAACAATATTTCTTTTATATATAAAATTGTAGTAACAATCTTTTCATTTTTAATACTATAGTTTACTATATAACGACATATTCGGACATGTCTAAAAGTTAATAATTATATTATTTGTAATTAATTTGATGGTTTAATTGGATAGATAGTAGAGTTTATTAAATATTAAGACTCACTATTATACTTAATATCGTAATGTATTAAGTCCTTAAATTAAGTTTCAATAATAGTGTTTAAATATTACAATCATTTAAATAACAGTTTATTCAAATTAATATCACTAGAACACAATATTACGGTGAACACAATTAAATATGTCTAAATTTTATTTTAAAAAATATATACTTAATATGAAGCAAAAAAAAAAAATTGGTTTTTTTGGGGGGGTGGGGGGAGATGTGCCCACCCTAGCCTAAGGGTGGCTCCACCCCTGGTGGTGGTTAAGGAGTTGGGTTTTTATACTCACTAGAATGGTGGTGGTGGATAGGGGCTATTTGGGTGCCAATTTTAGANAGTAAAGTGACTTCCAAAAAGAGCTTACCATGGAAAAGAAGAACTATAATCTTCAGGTGATGCGTCTCGCTGCCAAACTCTAGTCATCCATATAGTGTATAGTAACATAGCAATCCCTATGATCCCGATAGTCGAATTGAGAAGTTTCAAGCAAAACTGCAGGCAACTTTTCACAGCTCTCACCATTTTAATCAACTTTAACAGTATCAGTCCTTTGTTACCCAGATAGCTAAAGATAGACCAAATCAGCTCTCAAATCATGAACTCAAAGCAATTTCAAATGATACTTTTGGTGCATTCATCTAAGTTGATGAGGTTAGCTTTATAAGGTTGATTGATTTCTTAAGAAGAAAGCTAATTGCTTGGCCATTTTTCGAATGTGTAATGATTCTATATGAAATTGATGGTGCCAACATTTGAAATAGCAACAAGAGAGTGATTGAATTGATGGGTGAGATAGGAAATTTCCAAGAAACTTCGAAGTTTTTGGTTTTTAACTAGATGGTTTCTAGTGTAATCTTGCGAGTAATGTTCGGAGGCATTATTGTGGTTGTCGTAAGGACATAGGTTAATTTATGTTCATCTTGACTAATTCTCTCTTTAATTCGATCNAAGTAATGTTCTGAGGTATTATTGTGGTTGTCGTGAGGACATAGGTTAATTTATGCTCATCTTGACTAATTCTCTCTTTAATTCGATCAAAAATAGATTGTTCACGTTAGAACTAAAATATTTACGATGGATAACATCAGAGGGTTATCGGTTAAAGACAAGTCCACACGGAGACTAAGAATAATGATCGAGGGTTGACATGACAGTATTCTTGTCGGAAATTGATATTCAGTGTATAATTGTACATATGACATCTCATTGTTAGAATTTGATATACATGCCACTAATGTATTTGTTGTCCGTATCACCGTTGCATTGAATTTTTACTCATCAATAAATAATGGGCTTGAGTTTGAGNTGTAAAGTGACTTCCAAAAAGAGCTTACCATGGAAAAGAAGAACTATAATCTTCAGGTGATGCGTCTCGCTGCCAAACTCTAATCATCCATATAGTGTATAGTAACATAGCAATCCCTATGATCCCGATAGTCGAATTGAGAAGTTTCAAGCAAAACTGCAGGCAACTTTTCACAGCTCTCACCATTTTAATCAACTTTAACAGTATCAGTCCTTTGTTACCCAGATAGCTAAAGATAGACCAAATCAGCTCTCAAATCATGAACTCAAAGCAATTTCAAATGATACTTTTGGTGCATTCATCTAAGTTGATGGGGTTAGCTTTATAAGGTTGATTGATTTCTTAAGAAGAAAGCTAATTGCTTGGCCATTTTTCGAATGTGTAATGATTCTATATGAAATTGATGGTGCCAACATTTGAAATAGCAACAAGAGAGTGATTGAATTGATGGGTGAGATAGGAAATTTCCAAGAAACTTCGAAGTTTTTGGTTTTTAACTAGATGGTTTCTAGTGTAATCTTGCGAGTAATGTTCGGAGGCATTATTGTGGTTGTCGTAAGGACATAGGTTAATTTATGTTCATCTTGACTAATTCTCTCTTTAATTCGATCAAAAATAGATTGTTCACGTTAGAACTAAAATATTTACGATGAATAACATCAGAGGGTTATCGGTTAAAGACAAGTCCACACGGAGACTAAGAATAATGGTCAAGGGTTGACATGACAGTATTCTTGTCGGAAATTGATATTCAGTATATAATTATACATATGACATCTCATTGTTAGAATTTGATATACATGCCACTAATGTATTTGTTGTTCGTATCACCGTTGCATTGAATTTTTACTCATCAATAAATAATGGGCTTGAGTTTGAGTGATGCGAGGGGAAGTCGAGGAGGGGGTACCAAAAATGGTGGTGGTGGTGGTGGTTAGTAGCGGAGTAAGAAAAAAAATTTAGAGTGGACACATTGGTATGTTTTAATTTTTTTAATAGATCGTAAAATTTCATAAATTTATATTTATTAAAATTATATTTAATATGTTTTAAACATAAAAAATTAAAAATTGATATACATAACATGAAAAAAAATAATAATAATCAAAATTTCCTATCGAGAATGCAACTAATTATTATTACTTATAATTGATCATAATATGTTTTTATTATTTGAAAGAGTTACAAATTAATTTTATCAACAATATTTCTTTTATATATAAAATTGTAGTAACAATCTTTTCATTTTTAATACTATAGTTTACTATATAACGACATATTCGGACATGTCTAAAAGTTAATAATTATATTATTTGTAATTAATTTGATGGTTTAATTGGATAGATAGTAGAGTTTANCAATCTTTCATTTTTAATACTATAGTTTACTATATAACGACATATTCGGACATGTCTAAAAGTTAATAATTATATTAGTTGTAATTAATTTGATGGTTTAATTGGATAGATAGTAGAGTTTATTAAATATTAAGACTCACTATTATACTTAATATCGTAATGTATTAAGTCCTTAAATTAAGTTTCAATAATAGTGTTTAAATATTACAATCATTTAAATAACAGTTTATTCAAATTAATATCACTAGAACACAATATTACGGTGAACACAATTAAATATGTCTAAATTTTATTTTAAAAAATATATACTTAATATGAAGCAAAAAAAAAAAATTGGTTTTTTTGGGGGGGTGGGGGGAGATGTGCCCACCCTAGCCTAAGGGTGGCTCCACCCCTGGTGGTGGTTAAGGAGTTGGGTTTTTATACTCACTAGAATGGTGGTGGTGGATAGGGGCTATTTGGGTGCCAATTTTAGATGATATGCAAAAGGAAAGTTAAAGAGTGATTACAAATAATTGTTAAAAGTCTCTCTAAGTCTAATTAATGCATGTACTTGGTGAATAATTACATATCTGATAATTATTCTATAAGTCTTATGAAAGCTTACCTTGTAGAAGTTTCTAATCACAAGGAAAAAAAAAAGTCGAGGGATAACAAATATTGTTGACGGTAATAAACCAAGTTGGTTAAATGATACGGGTCCGTAAGTATGGGATAATTTTGTTAATTTACCACGAAATAAAAATATACATAACACAATAACTATTGAATTATTTATTCATAATTTATAATTTAATGCTTTAATCACAATAAATATATTTNTAGTGTTTAAATATTACAATCATTTAAATAACAGTTTATTCAAATTAATATCACTAGAACACAATATTACGGTGAACACAATTAAATATGTCTAAATTTTATTTTAAAAAATATATACTTAATATGAAGCAAAAAAAAAAAATTGGTTTTTTTGGGGGGGTGGGGGGAGATGTGCCCACCCTAGCCTAAGGGTGGCTCCACCCCTGGTGGTGGTTAAGGAGTTGGGTTTTTATACTCACTAGAATGGTGGTGGTGGATAGGGGCTATTTGGGTGCCAATTTTAGATGATATGCAAAAGGAAAGTTAAAGAGTGATTACAAATAATTGTTAAAAGTCTCTCTAAGTCTAATTAATGCATGTACTTGGTGAATAATTACATATCTGATAATTATTCTATAAGTCTTATGAAAGCTTACCTTGGAGAAGTTTCTAATCACAAGGAAAAAAAAAAGTCGAGGGATAACAAATATTGTTGACGGTAATAAATCAAGTTGGTTAAATGATACGGGTCCATAAATGTGGGATAATTTTGTTAATTTACCACGAAAAAAAAATATACATAACACAATAACGATTGAATTATTTATTCATAATTTATAATTTAATGCTTTAATCACAATAAATATATTTATGAATATTTAAACTTTTAATTACAATAAATAAATATTTTAATCGTAGTTTCTAATTACAATAACCTCAATAAATATTTAAATCACAATAAAAAAAATAAGTGGTCAAGATTAATTCACATTCCATGTAGCTGATTACAGGCGATCCAGCCTCCGTCTTCCCTCCAAACTACTTTCAGATAAGATGACACATACAGTTAAGAAACTTGAACTCAGCTCCTTCAATGAAACTCACCACCACCTTCACCGCCGTCAAACCTCTTCCACCACCGAATCTCCACCGTCCACTCAAACCCTTCATTTCGCTCTCTTCCCTATCAACTCAGCGACTCACACTCGCCNCATTGTTCAAAAATTAACAATCATTTAAATAACCGTTTATTCAAATTAATATCACTAGAACACAATATTACGGTGAACATAATTAAATATGTCTAAATTTTATTTTAAAAAATATATACTTAATATGAAGCAAAAAAAAAAAATTGGTTTTTTTGGGGGGGTGGGGGGAGATGTGCCCACCCTAGCCTAAGGGTGGCTCCACCCCTGGTGGTGGTTAAGGAGTTGGGTTTTTATACTCACTAGAATGGTGGTGGTGGATAGGGGCTATTTGGGTGCCAATTTTAGATGATATGCAAAAGGAAAGTTAAAGAGTGATTACAAATAATTGTTAAAAGTCTCTCTAAGTCTAATTAATGCATGTACTTGGTGAATAATTACATATCTGATAATTATTCTATAAATCTTATGAAAGCTTACCTTGGAGAAGTTTCTAATCACAAGGAAAAAAAAAAGTCGAGGGATAACAAATATTGTTGACGGTAATAAATCAAGTTGGTTAAATGATACGGGTCCATAAATGTGGGATAATTTTGTTAATTTACCACGAAAAAAAAATATACATAACACAATAACGATTGAATTATTTATTCATAATTTATAATTTAATGCTTTAATCACAATAAATATATTTATGAATATTTAAACTTTTAATTACAATAAATAAATATTTTAATCGTAGTTTCTAATTACAATAACCTCAATAAATATTTAAATCACAATAAAAAAAATAAATGGTCAAGATTAATTCACATTCCATGTAGCTGATTACAGGCGATCCAGCCTCCGTCTTCCCTCCAAACTACTTTCAGATAAGATGACACATACAGTTAAGAAACTTGAACTCAGCTCCTTCAATGAGACTCACCACCACCTTCACCGCCGTCAAACCTCTTCCACCACCGAATCTCCACCGTCCACTCAAACCCTTCATTTCGCTCTCTTCCCTATCAACTCAGCGACTCACACTCGCCGAGTCCCTCCAGTCCGAAACTCTCAAAACCCTAGAATGGCCCTCTGTTTGTACCCAACTCTCCGCCTTCACTTCCACCACTATGGGCATTTCCGCCGCCCAAGACGGCCGAATTCCGCTGGGACGCAGCCCGGAAGAGAGCAAGAGACTCCTGGCCCAGACCTCCGCTGCCGTAGCGCTTCCTCGGCCGTTGGATTTCTCGGGGATCGATGATATATCGGAGATATTGAATTCTTCGGTTGCCGGTAAATTGGCCTCGATTAGCGAGCTCTGTGCCGTGAAACGGACTTTGAAATCGGCGAGGGCGTTGTTAGAACAGTTGGAGGAGCTTTCTTTGGAGAGTGATTCACCTGAAACGTACGTACTTATATTTTTATTTTTGAACTACATATGTGTTGCTTTTTCTATAATTTATATATTAAAATACTTTTCTGGACTGAAGTTTAGTTACTTTGAATCTGAGTTGATTGGTGTTAAGAACAGTACTAAAATTTATTGATCATATCAATAAATCCACAACCTTTCCCGCTCATCCACAGTTTGAAAGTGCAAATTATTCATTTTCTGAAGGATGCACACCTTAAAAGAAACATAAGTACTTTCTAAAAATTGTGTATCTTTCTTAACAATTGTATATTCTTCAGAAAAGAAAAAGACATGCACACTTAGGGATGACAGGAAGCCAGAAAGGCTGTGGATTCTATATAGTATTTTTAGTACCTTTGAATTTCACTTGGTGTGAGAAAATTTGGGTAACATAGTTACATGGTTGTTATTTTGTGAAATCAATTTTCTTGATTGTAGTATTTTAGTAGTTTAAATTATAGTATAGTTTAAATAGGATAAGTCAAATGCCTTGGTTGTCCAGTGTGGATTTTCTGCATAAATGTTGTGGTTGTTGCATTAAGATTGTGATTTGGAATTAGCATCTAGATGATGGACAGTCCTATCATAATTTGCTTAAAATTTTTGGGGGAAATGTACAATGTATTAAAATCGTCTGAGCATATGGAAAACAAATGCTTCTGTAATGAACATTATGCAGGCCCTGACTTCTTAATAAACTGTCGTAGAACATATTAAAGGTTTTGATGTGGTGCTCCAAGATCCCCTGGTTTGCAGTTTNGCTGAGCATATGGAAAACAAATGCTTCTGTAATGAACATTATGCAGGCCCTGACTTCTTAATAAACTGCCGTAGAACATATTAAAGGTTTTGATGTGGTGCTCCAAGATCCCCTGGTTTGCAGTTTTGTAATTTAGTGAGTTTCAAGTTGAGTTAATGAAAGTGTCCCAGGCTTCAAAGGTCAGGCTTGAACTTGGATCTATGTGCAAGTTTTCAGCATATCTAAGACTCTAAGTGGTTCTTCCTGTTTGGCTGGCAGTTGATACAAGTGGGGGGAAGCTTGAATCATTTGGTAATTATAGATTCTATTAATGTCTCAGCAAGGATTTGCAAAGAAGCAACAGATTTGGATTGTTGCAATTGGAGTCAATGCTAGTTTTCTCCTGTTCTTTCACATATCTGAACATAGAAGCTGCTGCATGAAATACTAATTTTGTGTTCATGAACAGATTCATTGGGTTCCATCTATCTTTTGTATTTGAACAGGTACTCCCCTTTGGTTGAAATTCTACAGAATTGCAATTTTCTGATGGAATTGGAGCAAAAAATAGAATTTTGTATAGATTGTAATTTTTCAATAATCCTCGATAGGGCTAGTGAGGACCTGGAAATCATTAGGTCAGAAAGAAAGAGGAACATGGAAAATCTAGAATCTCTGTTGAAGAAAGTATCGGCTAAGATTTTTCAATCTGGAGGCATTGACAGACCATTGGTAACCAAGCGCAGATCAAGGATGTGTGTTGGTATCAGGGCTTCCCATAGATCTTTGCTTCCAGAAGGTGTTATTCTAAATGTCAGCAGCTCTGGAGCAACATATTTTATGGAACCCAAAGAGGCTGTAGACTTAAACAACATGGAAGTGAGGCTTTCAAACTCCGAGAAAATTGAGGAGCAAGCCATTTTGAGCCTGCTTACATCTGAAATTGTGGAATCAGAAACAGAGATCATTTATTTGTTGGATAAAGTATTGGAACTTGATCTTGCATTTGCAAGAGCTACTCATGCTCAGTGGATAAATGGGGTCTGTCCGGTTTTAAGTTCAGATGGTTCTGACTGTATTCAATCTGATAGAACTGATTATTCTTTCTCAGTAGATATTGAAACTATACAACATCCATTGCTCCTGGAGGCCTCTCTGAAGAGGCAGCCAGTTCTTGTAGCATCTAAATCTGAGAGTTCATTTTCTTTGGAAGAGGGAAATGGCATGATGAGTGCTGAAATATCCTCTGGAGCATCTGATTTTCCTGTGCCTATTGACATTAAAATTGGATGTGGAACTAAGGTGGTAGTGATCTCAGGACCTAATACAGGAGGCAAAACTGCTTCCATGAAAACGCTAGGCCTGGCTTCAGTCATGTTGAAGGCTGGCATGTATTTGCCTGCTAGAAACCACCCGAGACTTCCGTGGTTCGATCTTATTCTTGCAGATATTGGAGATTCCCAGGTAGTAGTTAGCTCTCTCTCTCTCACACACACACATTTATTTTCAACAAAGTTATATATAATGGTGAGACTGTTATTTTGAAATTGCAGTCTTTGGAACAAAGTCTCTCAACTTTTAGTGGGCACATCTTGCGGCTCTGCAAGATCTTAGAAGTGGCCTCTGAAAAATCTCTTGTCCTTATTGATGAAATTGGGAGCGGGACTGATCCTTCAGAAGGTGTGGCTCTTTCATCCAGTATATTGCAGTATCTTAAGGATAGAATAAACTTGGCTGTTGTAACTACCCATTATGCGGATTTAACTCGCCTCAAGGAGAAGGATACTCGGTTTGAGAATGCAGCAATGGAATTTTCTTTGGAGACTCTACAACCTACCTATCAGATTCTTTGGGGAACCATGGGTGAATCAAATGCCTTGAGTATTGCTAAATCAATAGGCTTTGATGAGAAAATAATTACATGTGCACAAACATGGGTGGAGAAGTTGATGCCAGAAAAGCTGCAGAAGCGGAAAGGTTTACTGTATCAGTCATTAATGGAGGAGAGAAACAGATTAGAAACTCAGGCAAGGAGAGCTGCATCTCTTCACTCAGAAATTATGGATCTTTATCATGAGGTATGGTTCTAAAGGTTCAACTGGGAGAGAATGTCTGCATAATATCTTTCCACAATGTTACTGCTAAACAATGTAAATCGTTTGGTGTATCTAACCCAAGTAGTTAAGATTCAGAGTAGATAAGTTCGAAATAGAGGGACAATATGATGTTTTAACTGTTGCTCATTTTTCGTGAGGTTTAGAGTGGTGTGTCCCTAGTTTGTACTTGAATAGACGGTGTTGTTAAGTTCCTGGTATTTTGATGTGCTCCATTCAGTACTCCTTTTAGGCTTAAGCTTAGGCAGTGAAGCTGCAAAGCAACCAGAATGTTAAACTGCATGTCAAAAACAAAAAAGAATGTTAACTGGGCACAATTACAATTTTATTGCTGTCCGCTTCTACATTTTAACATTATTTTTAGCAACGTATACTGCATCTGCAAACTGCCCCTTATTTTTAGCAACGTATATCATGCTGTTGTTAAAATTTGTAATTCTGGCCTAACACTTGAAGGGGTGCATGCATGCTGATGCCATGAACAGTCAAATAAGGACGTTTATTATTTGTTGTATGCACTTATGAATATGTATATAATGTGATTTGGAGTAGGTGTTCTTTTAAGCCATGAAGGATCAAATTTCCATAGGATGATTGCAATATATGTTTCATAATTAAAACAAACATCATTAACTCAGTGACATCTTTGTTTCGTTTTATTTTGCTCTTGTATAAACAAGTGGAGATCTATGATGAGGCAGCAGATCTTGATTTGCGTGAGGCAGCTCTTAAGGCAAAAGAAACCCAACAGGTTGTACATGAACTAAAGTTGGTGAAATCTCAAATAGAAGCTGTAATACAGGAGTTTGAAAACCAACTGAAAACTTCGGCTGCTGATCAGTTTAATTCAATTCTCAAGAAATCAGAGTTGGCAATTGCATCCATTGTCCAAGCTCATAGTCCAAAAGATGGGTTCGCCCCAAGAGAAACAGACGGTTCTTATATACCACAGCTCGGAGAGCAAGTCTATGTAAAGGCATTAGGAAATAAGTTGGCCACTGTAGTTGAAGCACCAGGGGATGATGATGCTGTCCTTGTCCAGTATGGAAAGATCAGGGTCCGTGTCAATATAAGCAGTTTAAGAGCTATATCGAATAGTGAGAGAAATGCTGCATCAAGTAATGTCCCACAGTTGAAGAGGCAGGTATGTACTGTATAGTTTCGGTGCTTTGTATCCAAGTTACTGTGTTGTTAAGAATTTCTTGTTATTTTGTATCCTTTATTGGAACACTACTTCACCTAGCATGAACGGAAGATAACCTACCCATCCCCACCAAGGATCATCATGTTTGTGTCAATGAATGTTTATACGTATGCTATTACATCCCTTGGTTGCTTAATTTCAGGAGTTGATTTCTTTCTTGAGTTTGCGCTAAATTTTTGTGATTGTTACCCGATTTCCACATGACCATTCCCACCCAATTAAGCTGGTGATATACCTTATTCTGCTACCTGATCCCAACGAACCTTCATTTAGTTCTCATAAGATAGACTGTAGAATTTCAATATGTGAAACACTGGTCTAGCCAATTGACTCCTACTCACACAGCCACATGCCAATGATAATGTAAGGCATGGATGCAGCTTGCACATATATGGTTTATGTCATGTGACTCATGTCTATAAGATTGAAATATAACCGTCTTTTTAATTAGTCTTATTAAGTTGACAAAATTATGCGTTGCTTTGTGTAGCTTGTTTTCGCAACCTCTTTTAATAATTTTATATAATTGGACCAAACCCCATTTATATTGATCAAACATGTGGTTACATCTGATAACGTAGGCTCAGGGAAGCAGGAACTTCAGGAATGCTTCAGAGGCCAGCAATGTGGAGGCCAATTCCTATGGACCCGCGATCCAGACATCCAAGAACACTGTAGATTTACGTGGCATGCGAGTGGAGGAAGCGTCTCACCACCTCAACATTGCCATCAGTGCAAGAGCACCTAATTCAGTTCTCTTCATTATACATGGGATGGGCACTGGGGTTGTGAAGGAGTGTGTACTTGAGATATTGAGAAAGCATCCACGCATTGCCAAGTTTGAACAGGAAAGTCCTATGAATTATGGTTGTACAGTTGCTTATATCAAGTGAATGCCACTTTATGCTTCAGTGGGAAATGAAAGATTCTCAAAAGATCATATAGATAATCTACCATTTCTTGTATAGTAGCATGTTCTTGTGCAGTAGAATGTTTAGTGTAATTGGCATAAAATTAGAGGGATCGAGTCTTTTTTAAGTTACTTATTTCGTAAACGATTGTCTAAGTGAAGTCAATGAAAAAAAATATATGACACAATTTATTTATATATTAGTTATACATAATTAATACACAATATGAATTTGACACGACACAATTTGTTAGATATAAATTAATAAATAAATTAGACATAAATAAAATATTTTTTAGAATGAATCTATTAAAATTTAACATGATCTTGTCTCAATCGAGCCGATTGATAACCTGGAAGAATCAAATCATGTCTATTAAAAAATTATTTAATTTTAACTCATCTGCGTTTAAAAAATGAGCTGAATTGAAATCGAGTCCGAATAGTTGATTTGAATTATCAGCCCTACCCAGCCAAACTTTTCTTGGCTTTTCTGTTCATCCTTACTTCTATCTCACACAACACACACGTACTCACTAAACAAACAGAGAGCTGCCACTTGCCGCCACCATTGCTTCTCCTACGTCACTCATCAGCCTCCATTAATTTTCAGTTCTAACCAACATATAGATAAGCATGAATCAAATTTCAGCAATGGTAAGTTCGTTCAACACAGGCTATAAACCATTTTCTGGTATTGGGGATTCGTGGGTCTTGAATAGTTTGCCGAAAAATGTTGGCCGTATTTGAGAAAGGAGTGGCGAACCCACCGGAGGAGCTGAGTCTTCCGGCGGCGGGAAGGCCGAGTTTGAGAGCTAGGAAAGAAATTGCAGAGATTTTCCAGTCATGGCGACGGGATTCAACTCTGTATGGCCTTTCGAATGGGAACTTTATGGCTTTGTCACACGAGGGCGAATTTCCATTGCATCCAAGGTAACACGGTCTTATTTTTTCCCTTATTGTACTGAAAATTACTACTTTTTAAGTGGTTTAAGTTACCAACTGTTTGAGGTAAATCCACGAATATTCTTAATAATTTTAACTTTTAAATGTTGTAATTTTACTTTTAAAAGTTGTAATCATGATATTTTAAGGTTGATTATGCATTTTTCAGTTGTAATTTTTACCTCAAAAAATTATAACATGACTTTAAAAAATTATAAATTTTGATACGACATTGAAGTTGGTATGGTAGTCTTCCTAGTTTATCATGTTCTTAGTCGAATTTGTATTCATTCATGCAAGTATGGACCAGGAATTTAATCTTTTAGATGATAAAACTAGAGTTTTGAAAAGTATTGGGGAGGAGCGTAGATAATATGAGACAAAAGTGAAATAAGAGGATTTTCCAAACCTTGGCGGTCCCTACCTCCTCCCATCATTGCCTGCATACATGGATGTTAGAATAGGTGGCTCATATTCAATACATGGAGAGGTCCACAAAGTGTAGGCCAGTTGTTGGAGTGCAGTTTTCTATGTTTATGTTCTATGAATAGCCCNTAGCCTAGATAATATGAGACAAAAGTGAAATAAGAGGATTTTCCAAACCTTGGCGGTCCCTACCTCCTCCCATCATTGCATGCATACATGGATGTTAGAATAGGTGGCTCATATTCAATACATGGAGAGGTCCACCAAGTGTAGGCCAGTTGTTGGAGTGCAGTTTTCTATGTTTATGTTCTATGAATAGCCCTACTTTTGGTGTGGAATAAAAATAATGCAGCTGTTCTCTCATGGATGTAGTTTAGTTGCGTTCATCGCACACAAATTATAACTATGGACATATCTCTTGCTTCATTTTTTTTGCACCTTAACACCTCAATTGGGTTTGTTTACAACTCAATCTTATGTTTTTTTTCTTCTTAAAATGAGATCATTTGAGATCAATACTTAATAATTTCAGATGACTTTGAGCTGCAACTATTGGTGCAATACCCATTATTATAATGTGGTAGGCAAAGACAGCAAAGGATCATAACCCCAATTCGGGATCTGTGAAAAGTTTCAAGTATAATAGTAGTAAGGATAAGTCTGTGGTAATGAAAGTGTTTTCNAGCTCATAGTCCAAAAGATGGGTTCGCCCCAAGAGAAACAGACGGTTCTTATATACCACAGCTCGGAGAGCAAGTCTATGTAAAGGCATTAGGAAATAAGTTGGCCACTGTAGTTGAAGCACCAGGGGATGATGATGCTGTCCTTGTCCAGTATGGAAAGATCAGGGTCCGTGTCAATATAAGCAGTTTAAGAGCTATATCGAATAGTGAGAGAAATGCTGCATCAAGTAATGTCCCACAGTTGAAGAGGCAGGTATGTACTGTATAGTTTCGGTGCTTTGTATCCAAGTTACTGTGTTGTTAAGAATTTCTTGTTATTTTGTATCCTTTATTGGAACACTACTTCACCTAGCATGAACGGAAGATAACCTACCCATCCCCACCAAGGATCATCATGTTTGTGTCAATGAATGTTTATACGTATGGTATTACATCCCTTGGTTGCTTAATTTCAGGAGTTGATTTCTTTCTTGAGTTTGCGCTAAATTTTTGTGATTGTAACCCGATTTCCACATGACCATTCCTACCCAATTAAGCTGGTGATATACCTTATTCTGCTACCTGATCCCAACGAACCTTCATNCTATTACATCCCTTGGTTGCTTAATTTCAGGAGTTGATTTCTTTCTTGAGTTTGCGCTAAATTTTTGTGATTGTTACCCGATTTCCACATGACCATTCCCACCCAATTAAGCTGGTGATATACCTTATTCTGCTACCTGATCCCAACGAACCTTCATTTAGTTCTCATAAGATAGACTGTAGAATTTCAATATGTGAAACACTGGTCTAGCCAATTGACTCCTACTCACACAGCCACATGCCAATGATAATGTAAGGCATGGATGCAGCTTGCACATATATGGTTTATGTCATGTGACTCATGTCTATAAGATTGAAATATAACCGTCTTTTTAATTAGTCTTATTAAGTTGACAAAATTATGCGTTGCTTTGTGTAGCTTGTTTTCGCAACCTCTTTTAATAATTTTATATAATTGGACCAAACCCCATTTATATTGATCAAACATGTGGTTACATCTGATAACGTAGGCTCAGGGAAGCAGGAACTTCAGGAATGCTTCAGAGGCCAGCAATGTGGAGGCCAATTCCTATGGACCCGCGATCCAGACATCCAAGAACACTGTAGATTTACGTGGCATGCGAGTGGAGGAAGCGTCTCACCACCTCAACATTGCCATCAGTGCAAGAGCACCTAATTCAGTTCTCTTCATTATACATGGGATGGGCACTGGGGTTGTGAAGGAGTGTGTACTTGAGATATTGAGAAAGCATCCACGCATTGCCAAGTTTGAACAGGAAAGTCCTATGAATTATGGTTGTACAGTTGCTTATATCAAGTGAATGCCACTTTATGCTTCAGTGGGAAATGAAAGATTCTCAAAAGATCATATAGATAATCTACCATTTCTTGTATAGTAGCATGTTCTTGTGCAGTAGAATGTTTAGTGTAATTGGCATAAAATTAGAGGGATCGAGTCTTTTTTAAGTTACTTATTTCGTAAACGATTGTCTAAGTGAAGTCAATGAAAAAAAATATATGACACAATTTATTTATATATTAGTTATACATAATTAATACACAATATGAATTTGACACGACACAATTTGTTAGATATAAATTAATAAATAAATTAGACATAAATAAAATATTTTTTAGAATGAATCTATTAAAATTTAACATGATCTTGTCTCAATCGAGCCGATTGATAACCTGGAAGAATCAAATCATGTCTATTTATTGTCAAGCTGAAATTGCACGCAGGCTCTTGATGACGTCCAGATATGGAGCTGGAGCAGAATTTTGTGAATTTAAATTGAATTTTTAAACGAATTTAAAAATTATTTAATTTTAACTCATCTGCGTTTAAAAAATGAGCTGAATTGAAATCGAGTCCGAATAGTTGATTTGAATTATCAGCCCTACCCAGCCAAACTTTTCTTGGCTTTTCTGTTCATCCTTACTTCTATCTCACACAACACACACGTACTCACTAAACAAACAGAGAGCTGCCACTTGCCGCCACCATTGCTTCTCCTACGTCACTCATCAGCCTCCATTAATTTTCAGTTCTAACCAACATATAGATAAGCATGAATCAAATTTCAGCAATGGTAAGTTCGTTCAACACAGGCTATAAACCATTTTCTGGTATTGGGGATTCGTGGGTCTTGAATAGTTTGCCGAAAAATGTTGGCCGTATTNCAAATTAATAAATAAATTAGACATAAATAAAATATTTTTTAGAATGAATCTATTAAAGTTTAACATGATCTTGTCTCAATCGAGCCGATTGATAACCTGGAAGAATCAAATCATGTCTATTAAAAAATTATTTAATTTTAACTCATCTGCGTTTAAAAAATGAGCTGAATTGAAATCGAGTCCGAATAGTTGATTTGAATTATCAGCCCTACCCAGCCAAACTTTTCTTGGCTTTTCTGTTCATCCTTACTTCTATCTCACACAACACACACGTACTCACTAAACAAACAGAGAGCTGCCACTTGCCGCCACCATTGCTTCTCCTACGTCACTCATCAGCCTCCATTAATTTTCAGTTCTAACCAACATATAGATAAGCATGAATCAAATTTCAGCAATGGTAAGTTCGTTCAACACAGGCTATAAACCATTTTCTGGTATTGGGGATTCGTGGGTCTTGAATAGTTTGCCGAAAAATGTTGGCCGTATTTGAGAAAGGAGTGGCGAACCCACCGGAGGAGCTGAGTCTTCCGGCGGCGGGAAGGCCGAGTTTGAGAGCTAGGAAAGAAATTGCAGAGATTTTCCAGTCATGGCGACGGGATTCAACTCTGTATGGCCTTTCGAATGGGAACTTTATGGCTTTGTCACACGAGGGCGAATTTCCATTGCATCCAAGGTAACACGGTCTTATTTTTTCCCTTATTGTACTGAAAATTACTACTTTTTAAGTGGTTTAAGTTACCAACTGTTTGAGGTAAATCCACGAATATTCTTAATAATTTTAACTTTTAAATGTTGTAATTTTACTTTTAAAAGTTGTAATCATGATATTTTAAGGTTGATTATGCATTTTTCAGTTGTAATTTTTACCTCAAAAAATTATAACATGACTTTAAAAAATTATAAATTTTGATACGACATTGAAGTTGGTATGGTAGTCTTCCTAGTTTATCATGTTCTTAGTCGAATTTGTATTCATTCATGCAAGTATGGACCAGGAATTTAATCTTTTAGATGATAAAACTAGAGTTTTGAAAAGTATTGGGGAGGAGCGTAGATAATATGAGACAAAAGTGAAATAAGAGGATTTTCCAAACCTTGGCGGTCCCTACCTCCTCCCATCATTGCCTGCATACATGGATGTTAGAATAGGTGGCTCATATTCAATACATGGAGAGGTCCACAAAGTGTAGGCCAGTTGTTGGAGTGCAGTTTTCTATGTTTATGTTCTATGAATAGCCCTACTTTTGGTGTGGAATAAAAATAATGCAGCTGTTCTCTCATGGATGTAGTTTAGTTGCGTTCATCGCACACAAATTATAACTATGGACATATCTCTTGCTTCATTTTTTTTGCACCTTAACACCTCAATTGGGTTTGTTTACAACTCAATCTTATGTTTTTTTTCTTCTTAAAATGAGATCATTTGAGATCAATACTTAATAATTTCAGATGACTTTGAGCTGCAACTATTGGTGCAATACCCATTATTATAATGTGGTAGGCAAAGACAGCAAAGGATCATAACCCCAATTCGGGATCTGTGAAAAGTTTCAAGTATAATAGTAGTAAGGATAAGTCTGTGGTAATGAAAGTGTTTTCTAGGTGCTGTGCCACAAAATACAATTTTTGAGGGGCAAGTCATAACTTTTTGGGACGTCAGCCTAAACTCCCTACAAAAGTTATAACCGGACCTTCATAAATTGTAGTGTTTTTTAGGATTGATCCTTCTCCTATTGTAATTTGACCTCAAAAAGGTATAACTTAACCCGCTCAAATTGTCACTAATGATGAATGCCACCATATTCATTCATTCATGGGATATTTAACTTCACTGTTGACATGAGAACCTGATCCGGATGCGTGCAAATGGAATCGGCTAAATTGGTCTTATTTGTGTGATTTAGGTCCATTGTTGTCAAGGATGACATTTTCTGCATATTCACTGGGTCTCTAAACAACACTTGTGAACTACGGAGACACTATGGCCTTTCGAGACAAGTGACAGAAGCCATGCTAGTAATTGAAGCTTATAAAGTCTTGAGGGATCGGGCCCCCTACCCGCCTGATCAAGTCGTCAAAGAACTTGAAGGAAAATTTGCTTTTATATTGTTTGATGCTAATGCTGCTAACCTCTTTCTTGCCAGGGTGAGTTCAAACTCAATATCAGATTCGTAGTTGCTCTGAATGGATTATTAACCTCATTCGCTTGAAATCTTTTGAAATCGGATAATTCCCAGAAAAATATCTTACCTTTGCTATTGAGGACAATAGCATCAACATAAATCAAGGAAAGTGAAGCATTTGTAAATTTTAATGGTTTTAAGTAAGCTGAAACTAGCTGCTGTTAATGTTAGCATAATTACTAAACATACTAGGATCGTGACGGATTCATGCAATTTCACTGGGGAATGGCCGGCGATAGGTCCTTAGTCTGTTCGGATGATCCAAAAATCATAATGGAGGCTTGTGGAAACTGTTATGCACCTTTTCCTCCAGGTTTTTCTGTTCAATTATTCTTCTTTAGTTAATTATGCCTCCTTTGCTTGCTGATATGCTAATTCGCATGCAAGATTGATTAATCATGCTTGATAAGTAGGATTGATGTGTTGGAAAAATTCAGATTTGAAATCTTATAGCTACAAATCTACACTGCATAACAAATTAAGCTGAAGATTGGTCCCCCAAATTTTGTAGGCTGTTTATTCATGAACCAGAATGGCCTAATTAGCTTTGACCATCCGCTTCACAAAGTAAGAGCAAGTGTGCGTGAAGATAATGAAGGGAAAATTTGCTCTGTTATTTTTCAAGTGGATTTGTATAAAAGACTCCACAGCATCCCACGGACAGGTAGTGCTGCAAATTGGGCGGGTGCCACTGTTGTTGAGGGGGAATAAAGAGATGAGTCTCTTCTTTCTTGTGAGAATAATGTAGAAACCATGATAGAATGTTCTGAAACTCTGTTTTCTGATGTAAAAACTATGAAACGATTTTCTGAAACTCGTTGTCGATGTTTATGTTCTATGAAATAATGTGGTGTTTTAAGGTTTAATTTCCAACCCCTTCTGTAGCATATGATTATCTTTTCTTAAATTCAAGCAGCAACTGACTTTTATGCTCTACCTAATCACAGAGTATTCATCATCTTGTTCCAAGTAACATGATTACAAATTTAGAAGTATCAATCTGATAATATGTTAGTGCTTATGTATTCTTAACTTGGCAGTGGCTAAAGTTTGCCCCTTTGCTTGTGTCACTGGGATTTAAGTGTCATATGACCCAAATGAATCAAGGAAATAAGGACGTTTCCCAATTTATCCCATGAAGCTCTATGTATGCAGTCAGTAGTCACACACGCACGCACGTGCACACACACACACACATCTAATTATCCATGATTTATGAGCTGAAGTGTTCAGTAGCAGAATTGGCATTGTTGAACTAACACTTTTGTTTTGACTAAATTGAAGGTCTTATTAATCTTTGGTACAAACACAGCACATTATGCTTACACCAGAGTTACCTTCTTTAGACTGAAAATACACTAAGAATCTGTTCCGGGGGGGTTAGTGTCCGGTGGCCATGGTCTCCGGTGCCATGGTATTGGTCATTTGCATTTCATTGTTACCCCCTTTCCCCTTTTTGTGCTCATTCAACTCAGGTGCAGCTGAAGCTTGGTGATCCTTGTCCATGGTGTTACCTGTACTTGGCTTAGGAGGAGCATGATTTATGTGTAAAGTGAATCCATGACACATATTGCCTTGGTTTTCATAGCAGCTCTGTGGAATGCAATGGTAAGGTTCATTATTAGGTGGATAACCTGGTACAGGGTACCAACCCATTCCCGGGCGGGGGTAACCGCCATTGCCCCCACCAGATCCATATCCACCACCCCAGCCATATCCTGAACCAGGGCCACCACCGAAACCAGGCATTCCTCCGGAACCGCCACCTCCTCCTCCTCCATCACCACCACCGTTACTTCCACCACCATGACCAGAACCATAACCACTGCCAGGGTAACCACCATAACCAGGCATTACTCCTGAAGTGTCACCGCCACCTCCTCCACCCCCCCCACCACCACCACCACCATTACTTCCACCATGACCAGAACCATAACCACTACCAGGGTAACCACCATAACCGGGCATTCCTCCTGAAGTGCCACCGTCACCTTCTCCTCCACCCCCACCACCACTGCCACCACCATGACCATAACCATAACCACTTGGGTAACCCATGTAACCATGCATTTCTCCGGGAGTACCCCCTGCACCACCCTTATGATTAATCCATTTACCAGAACCATGAACCTGCGGCCCATTAACGCCACCAATCATACCAAGTTTGAGCTCATCCTCTTCCCCAGCCATGGTGGTTTTAGGGGCAGGTGGGACTCTATGTGCAGAACAGATTGCTAAGCCTAATAGAGCCATGAAGACCAAGTAAGTCCATTTTGGTGCTGCCATTTTTAGCTCACCTAGTGCTGTGAGTGCCTCTATCCCCATAAGGCCTTACATAGTGTAGCTTCACATAATTGCTTGGTGTTTGTAAGAGAGAGAACTCCTTAAACTGGGGAAGAGGTTGAGGGAGAGGGTAAGCTACTGCACTATTTCATGCATTTTGATCTCAGAACCGCCCGGCACCATGAGGCTTGTGTGAGCAAAAGAATTTTGTATTGATAAATTACTGTACACTTGTTATCAGTGTGAGTTTTGTACGTAGTAGTGAGAGCGGGCCTTAGTGCAATCGGAAAGTTGCTTTATTGTGACTTGTCGTGCACTGAGTAAGCCTTTTAGTGATAATTATGGTAGAAATTTGAACAAGTGTATATTATTTGAGTCGTATTATTTTGAGTTTGTATGAAATATTAGTTAGTAAACTTTGCTAGGATCTATTTAAAAAATATTGCTAGATGGTCTGAAATGTTGATGGATCGTGCTATATTTGGAGTAACAGGCAAATTAGGACCCTTTCTATCTCAACAAAACCCAACAACTTCATAGCATTCCATAAACAAAAAGTTCAATTAGTCCACATGCTTGCAAAATCAAATTGAAAAATATTTAATTCTTCTAGGATTCGTACAACATTGAAGCAAGTATTGGCAATAAATGGAAAAAAAAAATCATAATTTTTCTTGATATTATGTCAATTAAACATGTTTATTGTGTTAAAATTGAATTATTCAGATTTGATACCGTTTTCACCTATTTATTGTACTAATTACTAAATAGTGTCATTTTGAGAATCGTGTTAAAAATTAATCAATCTTCATTAATTTCTTGAATCTCATGAATTTTCAGTTCAAAAGAAAAAAAAATCTCATAAATCTTATGAAAAATACACTTATTCCACCTTCTGCATAGAGACATTCTGCAGGGCCAGGGGGAGATGACTGACCATGGATTGGGTTGTTCATTTGGATTATAATTTATATATATATANTAAATTTCTTATGAAAAATACACTTATTCCACCTTCTGCATAGAGACATTCTGCAGGGCCAGGGGGAGATGACTGACCATGGATTGGGTTGTTCATTTGGATTATAATTTATATATATATATATATATATATATATTAATCTCTNAATCTTATGAAAAATACACTTATTCCACCTTCTGCATAGAGACATTCTGCAGGGCCAGGGGGAGATGACTGACCATGGATTGGGTTGTTCATTTGGATTATAATTTATATATATATATATATATATATATATTAATCTCTTGCTTGTTCATTTGTATTTAATTATTTTTTTTTCAAACATAAAAATAAGAATTAAATTTTATGGCGAATGTATTGGTATTGGGCCTGGAGAGTGGTCCAAAGTTTGAGCTTGCGGCATGGGAATCCATCCCATGAGTTGGGCCACATTTTTTTATCACAACGAGGGAAGGAGGGAGAGGGTTGTGGGAGAATTAAACCACCTACCTACAACTCTTCCGGTGGTCAAATATGGTATTTTACAAGCAAGAGATTCAATATTTATCGCCNTTATCACAACGAGGGAAGGAGGGAGAGGGTTGTGGGAGAATTAAACCACCTACCTACAACTCTTCCGGTGGTCAAATATGGTATTTTACAAGCAAGAGATTCAATATTTCTCGCTCTATTTAAAGGTCAACCACTTTTTTTTTTTGAAAGACATGTTTTTAAACTAGTTCAAGTTACGATAGTTGACTCAGAGTTTGAGAGAGTAGTTGATACAAGTCTAAATCCCTATAATAAAAAAAAAATCGCTTGCTTGCTACTTCACAATGGGAAGGCTTCACCATGAGACATGACATCTAAAGATTGAGTTCTGGGTTTGAGAATGAATTTTAGATCAATGATGTCTTTTGACAAAGGAAATTCATGACTATACTCGATGCAATTCAACTCCACAAAATCTTATACCAATATTTTGTGGATAAGTGTATTGTAAAATTGAATTACTTGTTAGAAAATGACCTCAATTCGGGTGAAAAATTAAAATGGACAAATAGAACCGAAGTCCTATTCGAATGGTTGAAGCCCTCCATAATAGAGTGGCATGTTGATGGTTTGAGTCTTTCTCCCCTTTTCCCTCCCCCTCCGTCCCTTAGTATAAAAATATCGTTGCCAATCAACCAAAAAAAAAAACCTGATGTGCAATGCAAAAAGATTGTAATTAGGGAATAATACGTAATATGAGAGGATCTAAATATAATTTATCTGAAGTAATGCCCCACTGCGTCTTTTTGGTTTTTACTTTTTAGGCCTCCGAGTCTTGACTTGTAATCTCCGAATAATGAACCAGAGCAAACTCCTCTCTCTCTCTCTCTCTCTCTCTCTCTCTCTCACACACACACACAAACACACGCGCGCGCCTATGCTCTCTCTTCTCTGTGTATTGGGGTTTTGAGGTTGGGACCGAGTGAAAATGGGTGGTGGGTCGGTGAAAGATGTGGAGTCGAAGAAAGAGCTTGATAACTTATCAACCAGGGGGCACCAGTTATCATACACTTCTGGGCAACTTGGTGTGAAGCTGCCAAACAGATGGACCAAGTCTTTTCNGCGTCTATTTTCTCTCTTCTCTGTGTATTGGGGTTTTGAGGTTGGGACTGAGTGAAAATGGGTGGTGGGTCGGTGAAAGATGTGGAGTCGAAGAAAGAGCTTGATAACTTATCAACCAGGGGGCACCAGTTATCATACACTTCTGGGCAACTTGGTGTGAAGCTGCCAAACAGATGGACCAAGTCTTTTCTCATCTCTCCACCGATTTCCTCATGCCCACTTCTTAAGGGTACCCTCTAAAGCCTCACCCTCTGGGCTATGTGTGTGTGTGTGTGTGTATCTGTGTATTTGTATATGCTCGTGGGTATCTTGTCTCGATATATGTTTAACGATTTTTGTTCTATGTATTGTGCTATTTATATGAACAATTGCAATTATTTTTATTGATACTTGTTTCTTTCTCTTGCTGTTTCTGTTGAAACATTGTGATGTACACGTTTTAGCTATGAAGGTTAGTGATCTAATGCTACTTGTTGTACATCCATCTACTAGTTATTTTGATGGTTTGTTATATGTGGCTAGTGAAACCCTAGTGGTCTGGGGTATTGTTTCTCAAAATTGAACAGAATTCGAATTGATAGAGTAACTGGCATGATTGTGTTATGACATGATATTGTTAGCTCTCAATTGATTTACTGATGAGAGATTCAATATAATGTGGACAATTAAGCGCTACAAAAACTTATCAGAAGCGTCAGAAAGTTGAAGAGGACTCGGGATTGGCCTCCCCGGTAGGTGTGGGGATAAAAAGNCTGAGAAAAAAGTCCGACAAGGCCTCAAAGTTTACTCCAACTGGTCCAGTTATCCACAGCTCTACATAAAGGGTGACCTCATTGGTGGATCAGATATTGTGCTGGAGATGCAGAAGAGTGGAGAGCTTAAGCAGTTCTTCGTTGAGGAAGGCATCACTAAAGGAAAGACTCTCGAAGATCGTTTGAAGAAACTGATCACTTCTTCACCTGTCATGCTATTCATGAAGGGTACCCCAGATGCTCCAAGATGTGGTTTCAGCTCGAAGGTAGTAAATTCCCTAAAGGAGGAGGGTGTGAATTTCGGGTCCTTTGATATTTTAAGTGATGAGGAAGTGAGGCAAGGACTAAAGACCTTCTCCAACTGGCCAACCTTTCCACAGCTCTATTACAAAGGTGAGTTGATAGGAGGTTGTGATGTTGTCATGGAGCTAAAAAACAACAGAGAGCTTAAGTCCACCCTATCTGAATAGACCAATGGATCTTATCAAATGACGTGGGAGTGAACCCTCCAATCTTACTGATTGGCATTGAAGGGTGTTAGCAAGATTGCACATGCTACACTTTGTATGTTCCCCTTCTTATTATTTATTTTTTTTCCCCACCATTTCTAAGGATATCTAGTGTAACCAGTGGCTGCAACCTCTGCTTATTTTTTTACATGAAATTTTCGTGAAATCAGAGCGATGGATGCTGGTCGTGAAGGGTACTGGTTTTCAGAAACCAACTTAAATTGGGTTTCTAAGTTCCAGCTTTAGAAATAGGATCATGTTTATGGCTTATCAGGGTGTGATGATCTTTCTCCATGAGTTGCAAGAAATTGCCATTGGGAAATTACTGTTTGAGCCTTTCCTCGAAGAATTGTGGTAGAAACTGTATATGCTTGGTTATTGGATTGCCTCCGAAAACAGCATCTTCTCATCACCTTCTATCCTTGATGGATGGGTATGAGTTGGCAAGACAGTCTCTCGATGGAAACCACCATTTTTTTCCCCTATTTTTTCGTACGGGACAGCAGATTGATGTTCCTACTCTGTCAAATTCAAGAACCCGTTAGATTAATGATCTAGTGTCTGGTCCAAAGATATATCTTCACCTGAATCTCATCACCAGAGAGAGAGAGAGAGAGAGAGAGATAATGGGATGTCCTAATCTAACAATTTAGAGTTTTTTGCATTTTGTACCCTCAAAATTTTCGCTTTGTACTTTTAAAGGTTAATTTTTTTATATCGTGTACTAAATGTATCAAAAATATTACAATACAGTCATTTTGTTAGTTTTTGTTATTTTTTCTCATCAGAAACTAATCCATTGGCACTGTCGAAAAAACTAACTAATTAAAAGTTAATAGAAATGTCACATTGTAACACTTTTAATACAATGAAAAAAAGTTTAATCTTTNACAATTAAGCGCTACAAAAACTTATCAGAAGCGTCAGAAAGTTGAAGAGGACTCGGGATTGGCCTCCCCGGTAGGTGTGGGGATAAAAAGACTTTATTATTGCATCCCTATTATCAAAATTGAAGTTTCAACTGCTTCCCTGCAACTTTTGCATTAGTAATTAAAATGCTTTCACTATGTGGTGTACAGAGCAGTGCCTGACCCTAATGATCTACTTGTTGGAATTTTGCTTGTATTAAAATTCCTGATTATTTAGGATGAATAAATGATTTTTTTGTGGCTCGTATCTTCATGTGTGAGTCTCCTCTGGCTGGATTTCATTTACCGTGGGAATGTGTTATTTTCTTTTACGAATGAATTGGCTCTTTAGCATTTGGCTTTTCTTCTTACTATGAAAGGACCACATCTCATGTGGGGGTTTTGGTTATGCTTGACGCCCTTCTCTGCTTACCTATAATTATTTACTTCTCTCATAACACTGCAGGTTGAAGCTGAAGGACAACCAGAGATTTCTGAGGCGTATTCTGCTTCTTCTGTGCCATATTTTGTCTTCTTTAAGGTGACCTCAACAGGGAAATTTTTCTTTAATTTCTTTGCTATTGTTTATCTCTTGTGATGTTTTTATGCTTATGGTGAAACTGTTGAAGATATGGTTCTGCCTTTTCCCACTAATGAAGAGAATTGGAATGAGAATGTAGCTTTTGAGTTTTTAGTGTGTACTCCGTTCTGGTTTTTCGGTGGAGAGACGAGGGTGGGAAAGTGTGTAGGGGTAAGGCTGTGTACATCTAACTCTCGCCAGACTCCGCAATGACGGGAGTCTCGTACATNAAGGGTGGGAAAGTGTGCAGGGATAAGGCTGTGTACATCTAACTCTCGCCAGACTCCGCAATGACGGGAGTCTCGTACATTGGGTACGCCTTTTTTTTTAAGATGAGGGTGAGAATGTGTGGACTGTGAAGGATTAATATCAAACTTTGATTGGACTTATGCTACTACATTAGCGGTTCAGCAGGTGGGAGAAGTTTGAAAGAAGCTTTATTTCTTTTCATTGTCATTTAAAAGCATATAGACCTTATTCAAGCAGTTAGAAAGCTAATCAAGGAACAAAAAACTATAGATAGGCTATGGTGGAGAAAAATTATTGATTGTTTCACATTGAATACATGTCCTGCTTTGCCCTTATTATGACCAAGACCAACTATTGGACATGGGCATGGAATTTATTGGTTGACATTCAATATTTTGCAATATGATATCTCATATCTGACAGAATATACTATACTTCTCTGTTAGGATGGCAAGACTGTCAATATGTTGGAGGGTGCTGACCCATCTAGTTTGGCCAACAAAGTTGATAAAGTTGCTGGGTCGATCAACCCTGGTGAACCTGCAGCTCCTGCTAGTCAAGGGATGGCTGCAGGCCCCACTGTTCTTGAGACAGTCAAGGAGTTTGCTAAGGAAAATGGTTCATCTCAGGTGGAAAGCCAATTCCCTTCTAGCCCTAATGACAGACAGACGAAGCGACTGCAGCATCTTGTCAATTGTCACCCAGTCATGCTGTTCATGAAGGGAAGCCCAGAAGAACCCAAGTGTGGATTTAGCCAAAAAATTGTAGAAATTTTGAAGAAAGAAATGGTCAAATTTGGAAGCTTTGATATTCTGACGGACAATCAGGTTTGTGAAGGATTGAAGAAGTTCTCCAACTGGCCAACCTTTCCTCAACTCTACTGCAAAGGTGAGCTTCTTGGTGGTTGTGACATTGCAATTACCATGCATGAGAGTGGTGAGCTAAACAAAGTTTTTAGGGATCATGGGGTTGAACACTTTGTTTCTGGTGTGGCAACTACTGAGGTTGGTGATGGAAAGGGTGGCATCTCCAAGCCTCCTGGCTTGAGTGCAACTTTGTCCTCTTGTCTTGATGGTCTGATCAATTCAAGCCCAGTTATGCTGTTTATGAAAGGAAAACCTGATGAACCCAGATGTGGTTTCAGCCATAAGATAGTTGATATACATCGACAAGAGAATGTTGCTTTTGAGAGTTTTGACATTCTTACTGAGAAAAAAGTCCGACAAGGCCTCAAAGTTTACTCCAACTGGTCCAGTTATCCACAGCTCTACATAAAGGGTGACCTCATTGGTGGATCAGATATTGTGCTGGAGATGCAGAAGAGTGGAGAGCTTAAGCAGTTCTTCGTTGAGGAAGGCATCACTAAAGGAAAGACTCTCGAAGATCGTTTGAAGAAACTGATCACTTCTTCACCTGTCATGCTATTCATGAAGGGTACCCCAGATGCTCCAAGATGTGGTTTCAGCTCGAAGGTAGTAAATTCCCTAAAGGAGGAGGGTGTGAATTTCGGGTCCTTTGATATTTTAAGTGATGAGGAAGTGAGGCAAGGACTAAAGACCTTCTCCAACTGGCCAACCTTTCCACAGCTCTATTACAAAGGTGAGTTGATAGGAGGTTGTGATGTTGTCATGGAGCTAAAAAACAACAGAGAGCTTAAGTCCACCCTATCTGAATAGACCAATGGATCTTATCAAATGACGTGGGAGTGAACCCTCCAATCTTACTGATTGGCATTGAAGGGTGTTAGCAAGATTGCACATGCTACACTTTGTATGTTCCCCTTCTTATTATTTATTTTTTTTCCCCACCATTTCTAAGGATATCTAGTGTAACCAGTGGCTGCAACCTCTGCTTATTTTTTTACATGAAATTTTCGTGAAATCAGAGCGATGGATGCTGGTCGTGAAGGGTACTGGTTTTCAGAAACCAACTTAAATTGGGTTTCTAAGTTCCAGCTTTAGAAATAGGATCATGTTTATGGCTTATCAGGGTGTGATGATCTTTCTCCATGAGTTGCAAGAAATTGCCATTGGGAAATTACTGTTTGAGCCTTTCCTCGAAGAATTGTGGTAGAAACTGTATATGCTTGGTTATTGGATTGCCTCCGAAAACAGCATCTTGTCATCACCTTCTATCCTTGATGGATGGGTATGAGTTGGCAAGACAGTCTCTCGATGGAAACCACCATTTTTTTCCCCTATTTTTTCGTACGGGACAGCAGATTGATGTTCCTACTCTGTCAAATTCAAGAACCCGTTAGATTAATGATCTAGTGTCTGGTCCAAAGATATATCTTCACCTGAATCTCATCACCAGAGAGAGAGAGAGAGAGAGAGAGATAATGGGATGTCCTAATCTAACAATTTAGAGTTTTTTGCATTTTGTACCCTCAAAATTTTCGCTTTGTACTTTTAAAGGTTAATTTTTTTATATCGTGTACTAAATGTATCAAAAATATTACAATACAGTCATTTTGTTAGTTTTTGTTATTTTTCTCATCAGAAACTAATCCATTGACACTGTCGAAAAAACTAATTAAAAGTTAATAGAAATGTCACATTGTAACATTTTTAATACAATGAAAAAAAGTTTAATCTTTAAAGGGTTCAAAGTAAAAATCTTTAATGTGGATGTGGATGTGTCATTGTGGCTGCCACTATGTTAATGTTATTGTGTCACTATAGCTGTGTTGTCAACTTTACCTTTATAGGTAATTTATCGTGTATGAATATTGTGTTGTCAACTTTATCTTTGTACGTAATTTATCGTATATGAATACATGTACAGTATAGAGACAAAAATTAAAATAGGATATAGAAGGGAAGAGATAAGAGAGAAAAAGAGTAGTATAAAAAAGTGAGGAGATAGAGAAATTAAAGGAAAAGAGATGAGAGAGAAATAGTGGAAATGTGAGGAGAGGGAGAAATTAAAAGAAAAGAGAAGAGAGAGAAACAATGGAATGGGAGAAAGATAAGAGATAAATAGTTGGATGGAATAGAGAGGAAGAAAAGAATTGAAAGAATTTAGGTGAGAGATAATTCAACAGAGAGGAGAGAGAAAATAGATATATTCGACGCAAGAGTCGCGCAATTTTGCAGCAAAATATGCACGATCAGTTCAAGGTCAAAATATGAAATATAAAAAAAAGAAGAAGAAGTAGAAGAAGAAAAACGTACATTGGATCACCAAACATTGCATATCATGTATTCTTAATAACTAAATAAGTTTACGTCTCTGCTTATTGACAAAATAAATTGTTATATTATACTGGTTTCTAATTTTTACAATATAATATATGTTTTTCATGTAAGTTTGGGCTAAAGTTTATGATGGAGAATATATGCTGTAAGCCTCTTGGCTGTTGTATCACATAAAAGTCCAAAAATCAAATTCTTCAAGTTTCCTTTTTCTTTTTGATTTTTACATTTATTTATTAAAAGTTTAAAGCCATGATCAAAGGCTACGTACAAGAGAAAAGAAAAAAACTCCTTATCATTTCTCTTTTCTCTTTTCACTCATCCTCTAACATATCCTCCTAACTTTGCTTGGATAATTACCCATCTGTTGAGATAGACACTCCAACAACTTAATCTCCAAAGCTTTGAAATGGGCTATCTGCATTTCTAGTTCCAGTCTCTCTCTCCTCAGGTTCTTGTTCTCTTCCATGAGTAGAAGATGATTGTTTTCCCCCATGGCTGTCGACGCTGCGTTCTCTTCCGATGCTTTTAGGAATGCCGGAAAGGCGCTAGGTTCGCATTTCTTCCTGCTGATCTCCATAAGAAGATGTCTACAACCCTTATGGAACTTCTCATGCTGGAATTCCCATCGTTTCGATGCTGTTTTCTTGAAACCCTATTTTTGCATTTTAGGGTTATATGACGAACCAAACACAAGCTAATTGTATGATAATTATGCATGTACATGGCACATCTATAGTGAGATTTTAGGAGTTCAACAACTCATGCATATATAAGAAATAGGGTTTTTTGAGACAAGTTACTTGCGACGGTAGTGTTCACCGTCACCAAAAATGTTCTAGAGAAAAAAAAGAAAGAGTAATACTATTTGTATCTTATTTAAAAACTTAATGATGTGACTTCAATGCAACTATTAGATTAGTTATGAGTTTCAATGTTAGATGAAGTCCACAGCCAATCCAATGGTTGTACATCATTAGGTCCCTAGATAAGGTAGCCAAATAAGGTCATCAAATAAAATCCAAATAGCATTTCTCAAAAAGAAAAAGTTTATTTGATGTCGCAAATACTATTTAAGACAAGTTGTTGTCGCTACAAAGGCTTTTTGAAACTCCACTTATTATGACGAGGTGTTGTGACGGCATGCCTTGTCATAATAAGCAGAGTCTCAAAAAGTCTTTATAGTAACAACGGTTGTCTCAAATAATAACATATAAATTTTTTATGACAGTACTATTGTCGCAAAAAAAAAAAAAAAATCTTCAAAACATGCTTTTTTGTGACGGTGGACACAACCGACACAAAAAATTTTCTCAAAATACCCTAATACTTGTACTACTATAATTTTTATTTTCTTAACGTCTCGTTGACCGGACTATTCAATGTACAGTTTAGTCATATTCAAATGTTGACATTTAGTGCTTAACCCCAACTTACTCCAAGGCCAATATATTAGCCTCTGTGTATCTTGTATGACATTCTTTACATGTAGTTTAGGATACAGCGGCATATAAAGAATATGATCAAATGTATGTAGTTTTATCCTTTATACGAAGGGATTGTTTTTGTAATCAAACCCTCTCGGGTCATACTAGGGTTTTAAAATGTTTGAATAACATAATCTGATAAGAAGTTTGACAAACTTTTCGTGATATATTTTGATCTGAATTTTTCTCATCTCATGCCAATAAAAAGAAAGAAAAAAAGAAAGTTCCTGCCTTGACATTCCATAGTTTCTGACGATCAAAAACATTAAGTCAAACTTGGCTAGTTTTTCCAGGATACAAGGCACCAAATGCGATTATTTTGACCCTCAAACCATTAAATTTTCCTGAGATCATACTTGAGGAACATTGATCTTGACAAATTTGACTAAAGTGGATGGCTAGAGACTTGAATGAATGAAATACCAATACCATTCATCCATGAAATCGTTGAATGGCTTTACTGCTTAATTGAATCCAAGAGTGAGGAGAACTTGTAGCCCAAAACTAATTATTTGGGTCCCACATTGACAATATATAGATTTAAAGACTAGATGCTACCTTTGACTAATTTATTCTTAAATTCTTACCGACGGTTGGATTAGTAGTTCATACTAGGGCAGGTATTATTAACCTGTGTTATGCATGAATGGATGAGTACTGACTCGCTGTTCACTCGGTTTTTGGGTTGTAATTAGTATGCAGGAGGGATGACTGAGTGGTTTAGCGCCTAGCATTGGAATTGCGATGTGGGTTTTGTTTACCGACGGTTTGGATCCCTCTCTTTCTAATCCTTCAGCGAATTCACCAATCTAAACAACCACGATGGATCAATTAGCAACCAATCTATTCGAGTCCCAACCAACCCATTGTCATATCGAAAGCTAAGATCCAACAACTATAGGTTTCACCAAGTTTGGTGAAAAACTAGTGAGAGTAACATTATCAAGATGTGAAAACCATGGAATTTCTTGCCAATTTAATAGGTAAAAATAAGGCCAAACATGATGAACTTCTTTCCAAAATCAGAAACATCAATAAACTAAATTGTGTATCCAACTTTCGAGATTATTTTTAACCTTTAAAAAGAAAAAGGCGTACTACATCCAAGTCCTACAAGTAAAGAGATTTATTTATCGATAAGAAAAAAAAAATGTGAACTGGGATTGGATTGATGGTAGAGAGAGAGAGAGAGAGAGAACTCACATAAGTATTAAGCTGACGAACAAAGCTAGAGAAGTTATTGTGCTTGAAGTATCTAGGCAACATGAGCTCCGAGAACTCTGCCGGAGACCACACAACAAACCCATTCCCATCGGAATTCCACGACACGATTCTCCGGCCACCACTACCATTCTCAACCGCTTCTCTTCCAGCTCTCTCCTCTTCCTCCTCCAAAAGATTATAAGTCTTTGATAAAAATGGAGCTGGACACTTAGTCCTCGGCGACTGGCCAACGTTCTGGGACATTATCCCATCAGGAAAACCTGTAGCCATGTTCTTTTTCTCGGAAACCAAACAGTCTTTCAGAGCTTTATTCTTTTACCTATAATACAATCTTCCAGGAAAGTACTACAGGTCTGTGGAAGGTGTCATTTTTTCTTCTATATTTCACTTTTGGGGTTTCTACAAAGCTCATGCAACTTTTTTCCACCAGACCAAACGTGAAATATTCTTTGAATGGGATAGCTTTTTTGTAATTTTTTAAAGTTAGAAACAGGAGAATTGGCTTCATTACAGGTAGAGGAATGAAGGGTTCATGATTTTTCACATGAAATGATAACACGTGGCATGTAGGTTAGACCCAATCACACTTTATTTAAAATTCAAAAGTAATCTTAAAACGCTCGCATAGTTTATGGACTAAAGTGCATAATCGACTGTATTAACTATTCGGATAAAATTCCTTTAATACCCCTGCATACCCACACCACCCAACAACCACCACATGCACAACCACCATATTGATTGATAAATTACTCAAATTCAATCCAAAAACTCAAGTAATATCTTGTTATAGATCATTTAGAGAAAGATATATAGAGGGGAGTGGTCGTTTGAAGCTGTTCAAATATAATGTTTTTACAATGTAATAAGACACAAATACAAATTTTATCTCAATTTTTTAGAGTCGATTATATAATGTGTCTGTTTGGAGTTAGTTTAAAATTTCAATTTTTTTTTTTTTAGTTTCACAAGAAAATAAACCTAGTCTATTTGGACCCGGTTTTTATTGGACGGCTTTTTCATCAATTTTTTGGGCAAGAACAGTTTTTATCAGTGCCATAGAAAGATTGAAAAATGAGACTTATCCAAGGGTTTTCAAGGAAAAACTAATTTTTCGAAAACACTCTCAACGATTCTAAGAGTTTTTTTTAACTCTGACTTTTCTATTTCACTTTTTAAACCACTGTTTCGCGCATGAAAAAATCAGCTCCAGACGGATCTAATTCATATTCCTTCATTACCTAATTAGTGTTTTAAATTATAGTAATGTTATGTTTACTAAGTTTCTTATTAAGTTTTTCATCTTAAATAATGTGACATAATCTCTATTATTAAATATTAATAAGAGCTATTTATTTAAAAATAAAAACTATATTACATCACTGGGGACAAAAAACTTTAGTAAAAATTCTTAAAGGTAAATGAGCATTGAATGCATTGAAAGTTTGTTCATTCATATGTCACACCAACGTTCAACAGACTGGAAAAATTTATGGAAGGGCTGTGGAAGTCTGACCAAATTTGGAAGAAACTGGCAAACTGATGTCACCTTCTGATAGAAACTTACTTTAAGAATTGTATGTAATTTGAATCTTAGCCTCTAAGTCCACTAGCATGATTAATTCACACATTATTAGTCACAAAATCCATATCGATGAATTGACAAAATCTCGACCATAATTCTCATCGTGCAATTGCAGTCACTCACCCCAAACTTCAAACAAATTCACCTCTACTTGGGAGACATACATCTCTTAGGAGATATACCAATTCACACGAATTTTGAATATTGTCTTAAGAGGAATGTTTTTAACTGTAGTCGTATTAGATAATATTCCTGCAGAATAAACGCTAGATATGGAACATTAGTTACACAGGATAATCCTCCATTATTAAAGTAGTAGTAGCAGACAAAAAAAAAAAAAAAAAAAAATAAAAGAGCACAAAAGTGAATTCTTTTGTTAGAGTTGGTAGCAAACTTGATTTGACTGATAAAATTGTCTGGGTCCCTATCTATGAAAAGACATGTGCATGATAAGAAGCTTTACTTTGTTGTTGAGAAGGTTTAATTACAAAATGTCTCATTTAAGTTTGAATTAAGTGGCAATTAATTCTCTTGAGTTTGAATTTTAACAAATTATTCTTTCAAAGTTTGTACATTTTTTAATTAACTAAAATTGTTAGTTTTGACAATGAAAAATAATAAAAATTAAGTCACACGATCTCAAATTTATTGAAAAGAGAAAATTATCTTGAATTTGAAATTTTTTCTCGGATCAAACAACTCCTCATTTTTCTTCCCAAAACAAAATGATGTGAAGGATGATCTTGTCTCTTCATAGAATTCAAGATCATGTACTTTGCAAATAGATATTTTTTTGTTATTTTTCACTGCCAAAATTGTCAACTTGACTTAATTTATAAATATTCAAACTATGAGGGGATAAATTGTTAAAACTAAAATTAAAAGGAGTTAATTGAATGTGATCTAAACTTTAAAGGGATATTTTGTAATTAATCATATTTAGAATATGCGCCATTGTTTTATTATTTTGTCCCATGTGCAAAGTAAATAAATTATGCTAGTTAGTCTAAAAAGGACAACTCCATAGTAGATAGCCAAAGATGTCGCACCATTGCATTGTATCTAAAACTTTTTTTTTTTAAAGAACTTTTATCATTAAAAAGATGGTGAGAAGATTCAAATCATGATGTTAACTTTATAATATTCCAATAATTGCTATCCCCAATTTAATTTAGACAAAAAATATTAATAGCTTCATAAAACCTCATACCATAATATTCTTTTTTCATAATGTAGATTTCACATAGTATAATTTTTTAAATAACATATTTTTTTATTATGAATTTATGTGAGATCCATTATAATAAACTGATCATTGATCAATGACGTTAGTAATAAGATGATGAGTTCTAACTATTCCAACAACAACTTAAATTAATGACTCCAAAATTTTTATTTTATTTTTGTCACTATTTAAAACTGTTGAAAGGAGAGGGGCTAGTGATATTTGAACCCACAATTTAGCGATTTAACAATAAGTTGTGATGGTCATTAAAACAATCGTTGATCCTTTGAAAAAAAAAATTTGAATTGGAATTTTTTGTACTATTTGCTAATAGAAATAGAGAAAAGAAAGACTTTAGCAAAAGAAGACAACTTTGATCGAGAGAGATCAATAATTCCAAGAAATAAACCATATAACATTTATTCCCGTTCTGCTTTAGTGCTTACATCAGTGTGGGGCTGAAAAGAAAAAAACAATAGGTGAAGTACACAATTTTAGAAATTTTAGCTTCCAAGAAAGTGACTTGTAATGGGTTGGTGTGAGGCTGTTAAGAGATCGGATTTGGATTCATCTGAACTCGAGTCTGACTTTAAAAGTTTAATTTGATTATTTGATAAATATTATTTTTCTTACTCACATACAAATTTGTTAACAATTTAAAATTTGTTTTGATTCAAATAACTTAATTTAACTAAAATTTAACAAATTAAATTTAAATTTCTTCAACTATTCACTTAATTTCTTTAATATCTATATAGAAATACATACATATTTTTGATCAAATCAAATTGAATATAAATATATCTAAATTCAAATTCCTAAAATATAAGATAACAAAGAGACTTGAAAACTGATAGGGATTAGACTAGTTCAATCCAAGCTTATCTACAACTAGATGAGTTCCATAATACCCCACCTCCTCTCCCACAAAAAAAACACACATTCTTATTGTCACATTAGAAAACACATTCTCATGCCCGACATTTTACATCCTCCATTTGTCTCTTTTACTTTATCCATCCTTGGCTCACTTGTAGTGTATTGGATCAAAAGGAGGTTGAGATTACTCTCATTTTCTATTGTAACATATATCATCAGGATCTTCAACGGGTTTAAAAATCGTCTTTTATTTTGATTTCGACGGCCGACTTAATTTCATGGAATTAGTTATAAGTCAAGCTTGCCGACTATCAAATGAAAGGCCGGTTCAAACTTGTGACTTCGATAGACTGAAAAACTTCTATAGCTAGAGGACGTGGATCAAGCTGACAACTTAAGAAATAATCGAAGCAAAATAGAAAACTGTGCAAAAAGATAATTTGCATACTTAGTAACTATATCACTAACCCAAACTAAAACATTTTTTTCTTTTTTTGTGGAAATGTTGAAAGTGGTATTGATTTTTAACAAATATTGACACTTCTAGGGAGCGAGTAGGTAAAAGACTCAAACTCATTGATGGGCCCGACCCAGAATAGGTTCAGATCACAGATACAGACCAACAAATACTCGATCACAATTTCAATTAGGGCAAACCCATTTTCCTAAAAGACTCGGTCCATCATCAGTGCATGTGAGAATCTCCATCTAAGGAGAAGTAATTCGTAGGGACGTAGTCATCGGGGGCACATTACCAACCTCGCGAGATTAGCTCTTCCGTTATGAGACAAGGCGAGCTTCATGGAATCACCCCGCTCCTTATTACTAGGATGACGCCTCAATCAGAGTCCCTCAGAGCGAACTTCACTTGTCTATAAATCGTAAGCCTCATTTACACATGGGTACATCACACACATGTCAACACACTACACTTCTTGAGAAATAAAATTCTCTGGCCACCGTATCCATTTCTAGTGGAGTAAGTCATTCAGACCGAACCACCTAATCTTTGTGTTTGCTTATGTTGATCCCTTTTTATTTCATCCTTGATTGATTTTGCAAATCATTAGCTTGGTCTCGTCTGTGGAAACTGTGACACCCCTAAAACTGTGGTCCCGTTGACAGCTCACCAACCCGTAGAAATGCCCGTGAGTGTTGCTTGATCCGACATCACGCTAATATTATCCCGTTACTGGAATCTTACATCACACGTAACACCCGTGTTCCATTAATCATTTAATCCTATTGAGGTTCAATATACCTCAATATATCTCCATTTTAGTCCATTTGTATCATTGGAACCAAAGGATGCATAGCCCAAGGCCTTGGAAGAATAATAAAAAAAATTTCAAAATCTGTCAAAGTGTATCGGTACGTGTACCGATACACATGGCTCACTGAACCTCACCGTACCGGTACGTTGTGTCTTTTGGACCTTACCGTACTGGTACACGTACCGGTACGCTGTGTCCTCAGGTCTTCGCCGTACCGATACGCTGAACCCATTTTTCCTTGTTTCACATGTTTTACATTTCAAGTCAATTCCAAACTTAACCAAATTTATCCCAAACATGTATAAAGATGTTTTTCTATATTATACATGATCCATACAAGTCCATTACAACCCATTCCATACATTTCATTGATTTACATGAAATTTCATATCAAAACTAAGTTTTTCACAATAATATTACAAAAATTCAATATTTACACAAAATG